GAGCTTGACGAGAGCGCCTATCGGGCCGCCTCTGGAAGTCCAGTGCCGGCGCCTTCCGGGGGTGGGCGGGGAACTTCCGGGGGTGTGCCTTCCTGGGGTGGGCGGGGACTTCCGGAGGGGGCGGTGCCATCTCCGTGCGCCCCTCCCTGCACGTTCCTGAAAGCGGTCCCCGGACCCAGCCTTTCAACACCTGCGCGGAGGGAAGATCAGAGAACATGAGAGTTCTGATGTTAAAGGTTGCCCCTGAGGGAAGCAACCTTGGAAGAGTAATGTGTTGAGGCCATCTGGACAGTAAAGGCCACTGAACCGTGTTATGGCCTCTGTATAACATACTACAAACTATCTGGATGGAGGTCTTGTCCTGCAGCCTCCCAAGACAAGCCGCCTAACAAGTCCCCTTGCTTACTAAACCTGTCACCTGCCAACATGGAGCGGCCTGCCCCTGCGGTTTCTGCTTGTCCTCTGTGTAGGGGACGGTTTCAGGTTTCACAAGGGAAACTCCCTGAGTCTGTGAACCATCCGAGAGAGAGTTGGGGGCCAATCCCTAACCTTTTAAGACTTCTCAATTTTTTAATTATAATTCCACTTTACCCTTTCTGCAAGTTAACTTTTGTTATTATTCATCTGCGAATAGTTAGCTGCGGCAGCCTGGACCCAGCTTTTTCAGAAGCAGTTTGCCTGCCTCTGGTGGGTGGCTTCTGCTATCCTTAGAAACTTCGCTGAACCCTTGTATGAGGCCTGAAATGTCACGTTAGGGTTTCATTTATGAAATTAGATTAAGCCTCAAACCCCAAATAAACATAGATAATCCAAGGGACGTCTAACTCCAGTGAGAATAGATTTAGGTCATTTCTGGGGTGCAAACTGAAGGCCTGGAAAAGGAAGCCCCTTCAGAAGACACAACAAAGTATCTATCTGGGTCCTCACTGCATAGGCCTTGGTGGAAACTGCAAGAACTGACTTCACAATTTCACCCAGGTTGGCCTTGGACAGCACATGAAAACACTTCTCAGCTTGCCCTCGCTTGCATGGCTCAGTGGATAGAGCATTGGTCTGTGGACTAAAGGGTCCTGGGCTCGATCTGGTCAAGGGCACATGGCCGAGTTGTGCGCTCGAGCGTGCAGGAGGCATCCAATCAATGATTCCCTCATCATTGATGTTTCTGTCTCTCTCCCTCTCCCTGCCTCTCTGAAATCAATAAAAATATATTTTAAAAAATAATAAAACTTTTCAGTTTAACCACTTCTAAAAACTACTGAGCCATGTTTCCCTACTAATTATTGTTTCATCTAATTATTTGATCTCTGATTATGAACCAACAGGCTAGTTACTACTCATGGCCACCTAAATTCAGGTCAATAACAAAAGCAAACATACTACACTAGAGGCCAGTACATGGAATCCGTGCACTCAGGGGGCGGGGGTCCCTCAGCACAGCCTGCACCCTCTCACAATCTGGGACCACTGCTCCTAACCACTCGCCTGCCTGCCTGATCACCCCTAACCACCTCTCCTCAGCCCCCACCACCACAGCTTCATCCAGAAGGACATCCGGAAGGTCATTCAGCTGTCTGGTCTAATTAGCATATTATGCTTTTATTATTATAGATTACTGAGTGCTTAGAAAACAGACAAGGGAGAGAGGCTTACCTGGAACTTTTTTTCATGTTTATTCTTTTATTTCCCCATTTGTGAATTAACTTTGTTTATGTCGTGGCTCATTTAGCTACTGTATAAATGTTAACTGCTTTCACATTCAACCTAATTTTTTTAAAAATATATTTTATTGATTTTTTACAGAGAGGAAAGGAGAGAGATAGAGATAGAGAGTTAGAAACATCGATGAGAGAGAAACATCGATCAGCTGCCTCCTGCACATCCCCCACTGGGGAAGTACGCACAACCCAGGTACATGCCCTTGACCGGAATCGAACCTGGGACCTTTCAGTCTGCAGGCCGACGCTCTATCCACTGAGCCAAACCGGTTTCGGCCAACCTAATTTTTATTAAGAACAATTCATTAAAATTTATTTTGGCATGTAAGGTTGGTGGGGCTCACTTTATTAGCTTTTCCTCTAAGAATGAAAGTAGAAAGCAATCAATAGCAAGATCACCCTTTGGAAGATAAGGCATATCCCGAGTGATTGTCCTTAAATATTTGAAGACTTTGAAGACTAAATATCCAAATCCAATCACAGTGACTAGAGAGTAAGCAAGGAAAGAATTGGAATCTGATTGTACCTAAGCAATGTAAATGATGTCCCAAAAGTAGGAAAACATTAACCAAGGGTAGGATCTCCGTGGTAGCTACAAAAGAAGAATGAAAAGAGATAAAATTGGCAGTGCATCCAGCACATTGTCTACCTAGAAATCTCTTTGGGATTGAACTGCCATCCATCAGTTATGCAAGGCATGAATCCCTCTCCTAAGCCCACCTCCACTTCCCCCCACCACCACCACCCAGCCACCCCATAGCTAATCCATCATAATTGCCTCCTTTCCCTTTTCACCACCTCCAGCACAACAGCCCACCGATTTTCAACCGGTGTGCTGCAAGAATTTTTAAAACATGCAATACCTGACTATTTAGTCAGGGCACGTTCCCTGGTATTTTTTCCTTGTATGTGTCTTATAAGAACCTATCCTTTCTCCCACATTTCCGGGTTTAACTTTCCTCGAAGTGTAGGCGCTCACAGCCCCAGAAGAGCAGTAATAAACTTCTAGAAAAGGAAGGGACCTGCAGAAGCGATTACAGACGCGCGGCTGACCCCGAGAAGAGGCTACACATTGAACTAGCGCCTCCCTCGCTGGGCATCACCCACCCCACCCGGGTCCTGGCGGCAAGAGCAACTATTCCGGATTCGGTCCTCTGAATTCGGGGAAGAACCGCTTCCGGCGGCACCGGAAGCGCGGTGGGGACCGTTTCCGAGACGGACTGACCGACCGTCAGTTCCCTCAGGTCCAGAAGGTGATCTGCGCCTGGTCTCAGAGTCCAGATCCTGCAGGCCTTTTGCAGGAGCTGAGTGAGTGGGGTCCCCCAGCCGGTCGTCCGGATGGCGTATGTTGTTTGACGTAGAGTGTCAGTGGCACAAGTCATACACATTGCGCTTTTCCAGGATGCATTTCTCCCCTGCGTGACCCTACTTCAGGCTTCCGAACGGTCTGCAGCCGGAGCGCCGCGGCAGGTGCGGACCCCAGTCCCAGCATCCCCTGTGCCCAAGCTTGTCGGGCTCGGGTTCGAGGCCGCCAGATCCGGGCTTTCTCTACAGTGACTTCTTTTTACCTTTCAGATAAGTCCCAAGGCTTCCAGTTGTTACATTCAGACGTTTCCGCCAGTTCAGCTGCATGTTGGATATTTCCAACATCCTTTTCCAGATTCCATGAATTTCCTAGCGGCGCGAGAACGCCGAACTGGGTGTCAGAAAGCCTGGGTTCTAGTCCTGACTGCCATTAACTAGCGGTATGACATTCGAGAATGTTCTTTTTTCTTTTCTTCGCTCTCTCTCGCTCCCTGGCTCTATTTTTCTTTTCTCTACATTGAGGGGCTTGGAATTAAGTAACAAATAAGGTTCCTTCCAGTTTTGATATTTGGATTATTGCCCCCAATGTGTTTGTCTAATTCTGGCCTTAATTACGTATCTGTGCTTTGGTTAATCTCAGTGCAGGGCCTTTCCTCCTGTGCGTCCTTCTGAAATCTGGTTTGGGGCTCATTAAAATTATTTTTTATTTACTAAGGAGTCCCGTGCTTCCTGAGCACACTTTAGTGCTTAGTCCAGGGACTTGTGCCTAAAGAAGGTACTGTCAATGTGCCACTCTTGAGGTGTTTCAGGTGCCTGAGGCTCATTACATGGGAACACCTGGAGACTGTGAACTCTGAAAGGAAGGGGCTCTAGCTTATTAAACTATGAATCAACAACCTCAAACACACTGCCGGAAGCTGGTGCTCAGAAAATGTTTGCTGAGGAGAAAACATGCACTTCTTACATTATTGTAGTTGCTCCTCCTCTTAAAAACTGAAAAGCAAAGCTGTAGAAATGCAGTCTTGGAAGCAGAAGGAATAGAAGACTCAGGAGGAAAAGAAGTAGACTGCTGAGTTGAATTCCGTTGCAGTGTTCTCTCAATAAATTCTTTCATTCCAAGAATGATATTCAGAAAGCATTATTTAATAGATCTTATGGGGTGTCTTCTTCCCTCTCAAGTATCTGGGGGGCGGGGAGACCAGGGGGAGGGGAAAATGGTGAATGTTGAAGGACAGTTCCAAGTAGAGGGAGTTTATGCAAAGGTTCAAAATTAGATGACAGGCCCTGGCCAGGTAGCTCAGGTGGTTATAGCGTAGTCCCAATACGCCCAGCTTGCGGGTTCGACTTCTGGTCAGGGCACATACAAGAAACAACCAATGAATGCATAAATAAGAGGCATAACAAATTTCTCTTTCAATAAAAATATATTTTTTAAATAATAAAAATATATTTAAAAAAATAAGTGGTGTAACAAGTTGATCTCTCTTTTCCTCTCGCTAAAATCAATTTAAAAATTTAAAAAGTAGATGACAAACCTTTGGAGATTATAAGTGGGTAAAAATAACAAAAGCCTGGGAGGTAGGAGTGAGGGGACTATTAAGGGTGTAAGAAATGAAGTGAGGTTAGCAGAGGGCAGATATAGCATGTTTTGAAGTTGTACATTAAACTGGGGGCGGGGGCATTGATAGTTGTTTAGCAGAGAGATGAAGAGTTCATACTTGCATTTTAAAAAATCACTCTTATTTTTAATTTGATTAGCTGATGTTTTTCAAGAGTGAAAAAGGCCCCTTATAATTTTGTTACTATACTTCAGTTCTGTCATAGTAGGAACATTAACGATAATAATACGTAATGTCTAGAGAGTAGTTAGAATGGAATCCCAACTCTGACTAGACTGGGAGCTCTTCCAGGGCAGGACCCCACTTTTATTCATTGTCACTCTAGTACTTTATTTTGTGTAGAGGAGATACCAATTAATATCTGCTAACTTGACTTAAATATTAACCAAAATACTACTTTAATACTTTTTTTCTAGGAGAAACATGAACCAGAAGTTGCTGAAGTTGGAGAACTTGCTACGATTTCACACTGTTTGTAGACAGCTGCACAGCCTAGGTCAAAGAAGAACGTTAGCACAATGGAGGCGTGTGTTTTCATCTGCTTACCCAGTGCGACCAGCTCCGCAGCACACCGGGTCCTGGCAAACAGACTCGCTCTTTGGGGCTGCTTTATCTCAATATAGGCTTCTAGTAACAAAGAAGGTAGTTGTAGATTTCTGGCATTACTGTATTATTTGGTCTGAAATGAAAGTGCCTGGAGCCATGAGTAGAAGTCTGTTTTGAATATTTTGTCATTTACAGACTCTTTATTCCATAATGCTACACTCCAGGTAATAAATCTTGGTGAAGAAGGGAAGTTCTGGTTGTTCTGTAATGCTGATGAATTTGGTTACTTGGAAATTGGTGTATAACAGTGAATTAAGGATGCAGGATTTTAAAATTTAGTCTTGAGATGTACCTGCTTATGGGAGTGTTAATTCTTCGTAGAAGCTGTGATTGTGGTAGATATTCCAGAATAAATATAAATTGTCACTTAAAAGTTGTTTCTTACTTCTTCATGCGTTCTGATTTTTTAATAGGAAGTAAGGCCACGGAAGTCTCAGGTATCTTCAACAAAATCTAAAAAGGAGGTGGAGGTATGGATTGGAATGACTGTTGAGGAGCTGGCCAGAGCAATGGAAAAGGACATAGGTGAGCCACATAATTTTATAAGGAGAAATAATGGGAACATGGAATACCTGGAATCTTATTTGCAATGAGACTGAGGCATTCAAGTGTGAAAATTAGACTGGTAGTTTAAAAAGTTGTCATTACAATATTCTTCACTTTAAGTCACAAACTGTAATTTGTTTCTTGGCTCTTTGCCAAATGTAGTTCTCCAACATTTCCCTTCTAATAAAAGTGGAAATGATTTTATCTGAACTAACCTTTCTCAGAAATTTAGTGAGATATTAGATTAAGTCCAAATTATTTTTTTGGACTGAGGGACCATATTTGTATTCATTTACTTCCCCTTTGGTTTTCTGTAATTTTATGAATTCCATTTTCCACTAATTTTGACATTATATGTAGTGTCAGCAGAAAAATATTCATAATATTAACTACAACTTTTTTTTTTTTTCCTTAGGGGAGGAGGGGAGAGTTGGTTAACTACAACTTTTAATAATACTATTTCTATTTGTAAATATATAGCATTATAGTCATATTTATCCCTCATTGCACCATTGATGTATTTATTACCAATTTGGGATTGTTGGAACAGAATGAGTCTTTATTATTATAATCTGACATTAAAATTTAGTAAACAGAAATAGCCTATGATTGTAGCAAAATAAAATGACAAGTGAAGCAGAGTCTTGGAAAAAGGAAAGAATAATAATAACTGATATTCATTGAACTGCTACTATTTATTAATACTTTATTAACTCTGTAATTTTCACAGTGCACCTAGAGATAGGTATGATTATTATCCCCATTTATAGGTTGAGAAACTGAGGCATAGAGAGGATACATAATTGCCCAGGATTTCACAGCTAGTACATGAAAGAGCCAGGATTTGAACCCAGGGATTTTGGCTCCACAGCCTATGCTTTTCTTATTCACAAACCAAATTATCTCTCAAGAATTGTTATTTGCACCATAGAAATAAGGAAATACAATAAATCAGAGAAATTTTTTTTGAGAACCTTGTGAGTAAACTTATACCAGCATATTACTGAATAGGATGTTCTTTTAGTGTAATGGTTTGGTTATGTGAGGATGATTTTATTTCATATCTTTCTTCCAAAATCTATATTATAAAAGGCCTGTGGCCCTAACGCGATAACAACCAAAGACCAGCGCGGGTGGGTGGGGCCGTGTGATTTCACACGCTGGGCTTCTAGTATATTTATAAGGTGATTGAAAGTCTGGAAACATAAGACTACTAACTTCATTATCATAACAGGTACATTTATATATCATCCACCAGGAAATATGACTGAAATTAAAACAAAGCACATTGATATTTACCTGGCAGGGGAGATACTATGAGTAACTATGAGATACTATGATTCCCCAAGGTGGTTTTTCCAGGGTGAGGCTTGTTCATTGTGCTAACTCTTGAGATTTCCCCAAACGTGGGAACTTGACAGCATAATGTGTGGTAGTGGGGAACTATGTTTGCACTCCCCTGAAAACAAAAGCAAAACACAAAGCACATTAAATAAAATGCAGACCAAGAAAAACAAGTAAATATTATATACTAGAGGCCCAGTGCATGAAGTTTGTACATGAAGGGCTGAGGGGGTCCCTCAGCTCGGCCTGCACCCTCTCCAATCTGGGACCCCTCGGGGGATGTCCGACTGCCTCTCGCAATCCAGGGCCTCTGGCTCCTAACCTCTCTTCTGCTTGCCTGCCTGATCTCCCCTAACCTCTCTGTCTGCCTGCCTGATCACCCCTAACCCCCTCTGCCTGTCTGCCTGATCACCCCTAACTACTCCTCTGCTGGCCTGATCGCCCCTAACTGCTCCTCTGCTGGCCTGATTACCCCTAACTGCCTTTGCCTCACCCTGCACCCAGGACCCAGGATTCCCTCCTCCAGCCGGTTGCAGGCACCCGGGACCTGGGCTTCCCTCCCTCTGGATGACCGCAGGCACCCAGGGCCCAGGCCGGCTTTGCCTGGGCTGGCTGCAGCCACAGGGGACCATGGGCAGGTGGCTTTGCCTGGGCCGCAGCCGCAGGTGCCTGGGACCATAGGGCAGGTGGCTTGTCCCTCTCCCAGGCTGTAGCCCCAGCCACTGGTGCCTGGGACTGTGGGGCGGGCGGCTTGTCCCTCTCGCAGGTCACAGGTTTAGCTGCTGGCACCCGGGACCGCGAGGATCGTGGGGCATGCGGATTGTCCCTCTCCCAGGCTGCAAGCATAGCTTATGGCACCCAGGATCACAGGGCGGGTGGCTTGTCCCTCTCCCAGGCCATAGCCCCAGTCACTGGCGCCTGGGACTGCGGGGACCGTGGGGCGTGCGGCTTTCCCTCTCCCAGGCCACAGCCTGGCTGGTCCTCATTCCTCTCTTGCGAGCTCATTTGTGCCTGGCTGGTCCCCATTCCTCTCTCCCCAGTGTTGAGTTGTCTGAGCCATTACGGTGTGATGGTGTGAGGGCATGATGGTGTGAGGGTGTGACATCTATTTGCATATTAGCTCTTTATTTTATAGGATTTTAAGATTTTCTAGGCACTCTAAATAGATACATAAATAAATTGAATGTGTGTGTATGTTGAGATACTATGTGTGTATGTGCATACAGTTGAGTCTCAGCATTTGGGGATTCTGTATTGGTGAATTCTCTAAAATGTATTTTGCCTCCAAATCAGTACTCGCAGTGTTTTTGCAGTTGTTCCCGAACACACGCAGAGGGGTGAAAATTTTGAGTTGCCTTATCACACATTCCTACTAAGGTTCAGTGAGGCAACATTCTGCCTTCTTGTTTCAGCTCTCATACTGTAAACAAGTGTAATTTTTGTGGCTTATCTAGTGCCACATGTTTTTGCTTTTCTGTACTTTTTGTTGGTGATTTCACTGTTTTAAATGGCCCCTAAACATAGCAGCGAAGTGCTGTTTAGTGCTGCTAACTGCAGGAAGGCTGTAATATGCCATACAGAGAAAATACATGTGTTAGATAAGCTTTGTTCTGGTATTAGTTATAGTGCTGTTGGCCGTGAGTTCAGAGTTAATGAATCAACAATATCGTCTACTAAATAAATATCTTTAAACAGAAACATTTAAAACAAGGTATGTATTGATCGGCTAATGAAAATTGTATGATTACAGGCTAAAGGAACCTAACCATGTCTGTCCCCTCAGAGCAATGATTTAGTATTTGCTAATTCAGTATTCATGAAGGTTTTATAGAACATAACTACTGCGATTAACAATAATTGACTATATATATATGTACACACATTTGTATATGCATGACATGTTAACTACAAGTTTTCAAAGAACTAGATGATGATAAACTACTCAATACTAAATGTATATACAACATGCAATTTAATATTTTATTGATGATTCATATGGTTCATCAGGTACATAAATACTCTAAATAATCATGAATGTGCAGAAATTCCAATTTATATATATGCATCGTATTTTTTTAAATATATTTTTTATTGATTTTAGAGAGGAAGGGAGAGGGAGAGAGAAACATCAATGATGAGAATCACTGATCCACTGCCTCTTGCACACCCCCTACTGGGGATCGAACCCACAACCCAGGCATGTGTCCTTGACCAGAATCAAACCCGGGACCCGTCAGTCTGCAGGCCAATGCTGTATCCACTGAGCCAAACCAGCTAGGGGATATATGCATTATGTTTTAAAGATCATTTTCTTTTCAGCTTCTTTGTGATTTATTAACATTAGAGAAACAGATAGCTTATATAGTTATTTCTCCGATTGAGTGTACTGTTTATATGGACATTTATTAATAGAGGTCACTTTCTGAACATTTAATTTCATGAACCTAAAAGGTTTTATCTATTCCACCCAGATTTTATTTATGAAGCTTTATTGAACACTACTATGGACATAGATTCACTAGAAGCAGACTCACATTTAGATGAAGTCTGGATCAAAGAAGTGATAAAGAAGGCAGGAATGAAGTTAAAATGGAGCAAATTAAAACAGGACAAAGTCAGAGAAAATAAAGATGCCGTGAGAAGGTAACACGTAACCATATATATTGGGGGAAGGAGACCACATAGTTTTATTCACACTTTTGAATAGAAAGGGTTGCCTTAAAATTTCGTTTGCAATTAAAATGATGTTAAACTTTTCTTTGAAGTACTTAAAGCATCAGTATATTCAGGTGATTATAAAACTCTTAAGGGTTATTTTTCTAAGTTTATATATCGATCCTGAATCTTAAAGTTTTTTATTCAGTTCTGCTCATTGTTATGAAGATGTCAACTGTAGGTGTGTAGTCATGTATTTTGTCATAAGTCATATCTATAGAAGAGGAAAATACTTTGGTCTAAAGAATGCTGAATGTTAGGTTTTATCGTTAATGGCAGTTCACATAGATAACTGCAAATCAATTCACTGGCTATCAACCGTTCTGATGTTTAAGAAATGAAATTCCTTTGCTGTTAATTGTAGGCCCCAGGCAGATCCAGCTTTATTAACCCCAAGGTCCCCAGTGGTAACTATAATGGGCCATGTCGATCATGGGAAAACGACGTTACTTGACAAACTGCGAAAAACTCAAGTGGCAGCAATGGAAGCTGGAGGCATCACTCAGCACATTGGTGCCTTTCTTGGTATGAACACAGATTATCTTACAATGTGCTTGGGAACTCCATATATTCTTCCTTAAACCTAGTGTCATAGTATGAACTGTACAAATTCAAAGTAAAAGGAAAGGCTGAAGGTTAAAGCATTGGTTTGATGAAGTGTAGAGCAGGTGGTTAATAAAGTTTATTTTGTACATTCTGTAAGAAGAAAATTATATTATCTTTCTATTCTAGCCCATTCTTAGTTAATGAGCTTAAATTCTTCACTGCTAGGTTGTGGCAATAAATAATAGCCACCCTTTACTGAGCACCTAGCATGTGCTCACCATTGTGCTGACCACCTTATATACTTTATCTTTTTTATCTTCAAAAAATATCATTAGGTAGGTATCAATATTCCTACTTACAGGTAAGATGTCTGAGACTTATTTAAGTTCAGGTACTTGGTTAAGGTACGTACACAGCTAGTAAGTGGCAAAGCCAGAGTTTAAACACTAGGCTTTTGGACTCAAATCCTGAGCTGCCGATTATATATGAAATAGCCTTTGTTATTCAAGACAGTTGTGCAGCTGATGTTTGCTATGCAGGGGTGGCTACCTGTGTAATCCTCAGTGTATTCTCTCTCCAGAATAGATATTATTTGGTACATTTATGAAAGTAGTTATATTCTAGAAATATGAAGGGTTTTAGTTTGAAATTATTACATGCAAAGAAAACCCTACAGGTTTCGCTGGTATGTTATCAATTGTTCTGATTAAGATTAATGGAAGGAATAAAATTATTTTAAAGAATTAGTTGTGTTTGATAATGTCATGTTGAGAAAGTACCTGTTTGAGTTCTTAGTGTTTCTTGGACTTCTGTTTCCACAGTCTCTCTGCCTTCCGGGGAGAAGATAACCTTTCTCGATACTCCAGGACATGCTGCGTTCTCAGCGATGAGAGCCAGGGGTGCTCAGGTCACCGACATTATCATACTGGTTGTAGCTGCAGATGATGGAGTGATGAAACAAACGGTAGAATCCATTCAGCATGCCAAAGATGCTCAAGGTGCTATGGCAAGAGCCACTGTTCTGGGATAGTGCCCACGTTGCTCGTTTAGTCTTCATGGCAATCTCAGGATTATTATAACTGTTCTTACAGATAAGGCTCAAAGACAGTTGAATTATTTTCCCACAGATGTTACTACCTAGAAGAGTGTAGCAGGATTCAGTTTGGGACTTGTGATCACAAGTACAGTTCTTTCTCTACTGTTTATTTGGCATCTGATCTTCTAGCTTTCAGTGTTACTCTCTTTCCTTTTTAATCTCTCAAAAGTGCCTTTGTGGAATGGACTCTGTTCTTAATGATTTTAAGGAATATAATAAAAAGAAGAGAGTGATAAATTTGTCAGGGATCCCATAACAGAGCAGTTGGTTAAGATACATGATATTTTTTAAAAATATATTTGTATTGATTTCGGAGAAGAAGGGAGAGGGATAGAGAGATAGAATCAATGATGAGAGAGAATCATTGGTCAGCTGCCTCCTGCACCCCCCACTCTAGGGATCTAGCCCGCAACCCATGCATGTACCCTGACCAGGAATCAAACCATGACCTCCTGGTTCATAGGTCAACACTAAACCACTGAGCCACACTGATATATTTTTTACATCATGATTCTATTCCTGTTCTTTTGGTCTTATCTATATGGCATGTACTTTTTCACAGTAGTAGGTTATGGATTGCATAGTTTGTTTTGTTTTGTTTTTAATCCTCACCAGAGGATTTGTTTATTTTATTGATTGATTGGTTGATTTATGGATGTATTTATGTATGTGTGTATGTATTTATTTATTTATTTTAGTAAGAGGGGAAGGGCAAGAGAGAGAGTGAGACGATTTATATGAGAGAAAACATCAATTGGTTGCCTCCCATATCCACTTCAATTGAGGATTGAACCTGCAACTGGGGTGTGCACACAGGATGATGCTCCAACCACCTGAGCCACCCAGCCAGGGCGCAGAGCTTTTTTTGTGTGTGTTTGTTTTCAATTTATGTTTCTTTGCTACCTGAGAAAATTACAGTTGGTGAAATCCAACAAGAGAATTATCTGCTAAAATTTTGTGTGATTTCTCTAATGAGAGGGTATGTTTAGTAATAACAGGTAGATTATAAGATTGGTTGGTCCATTCATTAAGTAAACATTTATTGAGAATCTACTATGTATCACCAAGCTAAATGTATGAAAAAGAGTTGCTGTAGCCCTAGCCAGTTTGGCTCAGTGGATAGAGCGTCGGCCTGCAGACTCAAGGGTCCCAGGTTCTATTCCGGTCAAGGGCATGTACCTTGATTGCGGGCACATCCCCAGTAGGGAGTGTGCAGGAGGCAGCTGATCGATGTTTCTCTCTCATCGATGTTTCTAACTCTCTATCACTATCCCTTCCTCTCTGTAAAAAATCAATAAAATATATTTAAAAAAAAAAGAGTTGCTGTAAATCCAAAGGTAAGTTCACGGCAATGATTCCTAATTTCACCCCAGGATAAAATGTTAGGTTTTAACAATGAGTGAGTAGCTCCTAGAAAGAATAGGCAAATCATCTAATGGCATCGGAATTCAATTAGAATCTTCTCTTGATCTTTTTCTGGAGATTATCTCCCATATAATTGCTGATCTTGCTTTCAGGTTTAAGGATAGGCCTTTCTCTACTCAACATACCTTTTTGTTTTAAATCATCTTAGCGTCTATTCTTAATTCAGAATCTGCTTATAATTGCAGTTTGACATCTCACAGCTGCAATTCTTTGTGTGTAGAAAGTACAGTACAGTGGGTCTAAAGAGTGGGTCTTTTTAGGTCTTTTGTTAGATAAGTACATCCACTGAGTAGAGAGAAAGCCAGAACAGGTTGGTGCCTTCGTTGTGAACACCTGGGATTAAAGGTGCCATTTGCACTCTTCTGAACTTTGTCTCTTTCAGTGCCTATTGTCCTCGCCATAAACAAATGTGACAAAGCCGAGGCTGACCCTGAAAAAGTGAAGAAAGAACTGCTAGCTTATGACGTGGTGTGTGAAGATTACGGAGGCGATGTACAGGCAGTGCATGTCTCTGCACTTACGGTAAACGCATAGATGTTGTGTTCAGATGGGAATGCTTATAGTGCATTATGCCTGAAGAGCATTTTGACATATAATTTCTGTTGTTGTTTCAGAATTCTCTGGGTACTAAGCAAAACTGGTATCTTCCTGGTTTGGCAGATTAGAAATTAGGCTCAGAAAGGTCAGTCACCAATCCAGGGTTACATAGCTGATGGTAATGGGATCTAAACCTAATGCTTTTCTTATTATGAGATACTTAGAATGAGAAGAATAAATAGTGAATGATGTGGGTAGGGTATGAGTTGGCTAAAGACTGTTTTAAGCAAAAATGAAATACAGTTGTTAATAAAAAGTGCTTGCTTTTATAGTGAAAAACTAGCAAAGTCTTAGGGCACTTAAGATTTAAACAATAAAAAATTTTCACTAATACAAAGAAGAAACATTTGGGTTCAATTTGTAAGTGATTGACTCAGTTTTTGGGGGAATTAAATTGTTACAAGTTTTATAATGTTATTTATGATGAATTCTGTTTTCTTTTAAATTACCAGTTATTCTTTTCTGTTTGAAAAACACCAAGGAAGCTCAGTACCTGCTTTGTGACAGCATTTTTAATTCTTTTATCCTGTGCAGGTTGCCGCTAATTAACAAAAATTCCATTTTTGTCCATTCTTATCATATTCCATCATTTACTCATAACACAGACTTTTCCCCCTGATCATTCACTGAGGGATGGTGCTGTATTTGGCCACAGTTTTTCAACTAAGTCTCATTTTATCTTTATTTTTCCTAATTCTGTTTCTTCCAAGATGCTTAGAAATTATGCCTTCTTTAATAGTATAACCATGCTATTGATACTGATAAAATGCCACCTTACTTTGTTATCTTTCCACTATACCTGGATTGCTATTGCACTCTGAAAGTCATATGGTAAGATTAAAGCATTTGAAGACATGGCTACCTTTTCTGTCCAAATACCTTCAGATGAATAGATAGATGTAGAGATGCTTAGGCAAATCTGGGGACATGGCAGAGATGATTGGGGAATGGAGGGAGGTAGGAGAGAGGGACAGGGAAGTAAAATGGGGCCTCCTTTTTCAAGGCAGATATAGAGGTCTACATTATGCAAAGAAACAACCCCAGCATTGTTTTTCAGAGCAGCATTTTATAAATTAGAATAAATACAAGGAATAAGTAGAGGGGTAAGCAAAGTATTTTGTTTACAGTTGTCTCTGTTGTTTTATACTCTCTAACAACTGCGACCAATTTCTTAGCTGTCAGGGAGAATGAAAAATCCCTTGCCTGTCAGTTCCTGTTCCATCACCAGTTATCAGCTGCGTGATCTTTAATCTCTAGAAAGCGTAGTAAAGATAGATCGTCAAAGGTGGAAGAATCATGTAATCTAGTCCTTCATTTGAGGAAAGGAGGTCCAGGGAGGTGAAGTGAATTTTTATTTTTGCACAGTTAAGTAGTTACAATGGATCAAATGAAAAAATAGATGCAAAAGTTTGTCACGAATAGAACTTCAATATGAAGTATCATTGTAAAGAGCGTTAGAGGAAGAAATCACAGTTATAGAGACAGATGGAGGAGAGAAAGAGAGAATGAATGAAGCATGTGTTTATGGAAGGGTATTAACAAGCACCACTAATGGCCTTAAAAAAAAAATAGCCACTGTTCTTTGCAATATCTGTCCCTGGATCAGGTTTTCTTGTTTATCTCTCTCTCCCTTCCTCCCTTCCTTCCTTACAATTGCATAATTATGCTTTTAATGCTTAAAGAGAAAAATATAATTGTCAAGGATTATTTGGCTTTCTGACCCTAGTATTTACATTTACAGATGATATTAATGTATATTAACAACTTGTTTTGTTGTTAAGGGGGATAACCTGATGGCTTTGGCAGAGGCAACAATTACTCTTGCAGAAATATTAGAATTGAAAGCAGACCCCACAGGTCCAGTGGAAGGAACAGTTATAGAATCTTTCACAGACAAAGGAAGAGGGTAGGTCTAGTAAAATGCTTGCTTTTTAGTAATTTTGTTCTATTGTTTTTGTGAATTGATCATATAATGTTATTTTTCTTGCATGTTATGGTTAGTCCATGAATAATATTTTCCAAGCATTTTTTTGAAAAGCATTTTATTGCACTAGCACAGAGAACACAAAATACAGTTATTAGTAGACCATAATATCTATCTGTATACACCAAGTAGTCACATTTACATGACTTAAGTATTCGATTTGTTTGACTTTTTTTTCCACACTGACATGACTGAACTGGTAAAGCCTAATTAGACTAACATAAATTGGAATGAAATAGCAGTTGTTGCATTTTAAGGATTCTAAATTCTTTATGTCCTTGCTCATTAATATAACATATAAGAAGGTCTTTGGAATGGTGTTGCTGTCTTTAATTTTCCTCCCTATCAGCAAAAGAAGTCTTCTCACTGTTTAACAAAATAAAGGGGAGTAGGATTCTGTCAGAACACTCAGCTCTCTGCACCCTCCACTACCATCTATAATAATAAAAGCATAATATGCTAATTAGACTGGATGGCTGAACAGTGGAACGACCATCCAGATGACCAGAACGACCTTCCAGACGAAGCCAGGGCTGCGAGGGCCGAGCCCCTTGCACAAACTTTGTGCATCCGGCCTCTAGTAACTTTATAAGAAATGTGTTGTTTTTTTGTGGTAAAGATACGTAACTATCAAATTTACCATCTTAACCATTTTTAAGAGTACAGTTCAGTAGCATTAAGTATATTCATATTGTTGTGCAATAGAATCTAGAATTTTTTCATCTTGCAAAACGGCAACCCTATACCCATGAAACACTAATTTTCTCTCTCACTCCCCCTGTCCTTGCCAGCTACCTTTCCATTTTCTGTTTCTATGACTTTGACTACTTTAGAAACTTCATGAGTAGAGTCATATGGTATTTGTTCTTTTTGACTGGCTTATTTCACTTAGCATAAATGACCTTGAGATTCATCCATGTTGTAGCATGTGATAGGATTTTGTGTGTTTTCTTCAGATTGCATAATATTTCATTTTATGTATGTGTATGCTGCAGTTTCTTTATCCTTCCTTATTATTCCAACATTTGGGTTGCTTCAACCTTTTTAACAATTGTGAAGAAATGTTTTTGTAGTGTGAAAAACTGCTTGAGAAATTGAAAAGTGGTAAAAACATAATATTATGTATTTTTAAGTCTCAAAAAGATATTCTTGCTCACCCTGGCCAGTGAGGCTTAGTAGGTTGAGCATCATCCCATGCACCAAAAGGTCACCGATTTGATTCCTGGTCAGGGCACATGCCCAGGTTGCTGGCTCCATCCCCAGTAGGGGGCATGTGGGAGGCAGCCAATCGGTCTTTGTCTCTCTCCTTTCCTCTCTCTAAAGTCAATAAAAACATACATATATTTTGTTAATCCTCACCAGAGGATATTTCTTTCATTGATTTTGTAGAGAGAATGGAAGGGAGAGGGAGAGACAGAGAGAGAGAAACATCTATGCGAGAGAGACACATGGACTGGTTGCCTCCCACATGCACCCTGACCGTGGCGGGGATTAAGCCTGCAACCAAGGTACATGCCCTTGACCAGAATCGAACCCACGACCCTCAGGCCAATGCTCTAACCACTGAGAAAACCAGCTAGGACAAAAACATTTTTCTTTAAATGAAAAAATAATCTTTGCTTTACTAAGAAAATACTATTACATCCTGATTATGGCATTAAGAATTAATAACTTTATTTTCATTTTAGTCCTGTTACTACAGCAATAATTCAAAGAGGAACATTGAGAAAAGGCTCAATTCTGGTTGCTGGGAAGAGTTGGGCGAAAGTGCGCTTAATGTTTGATGAAAATGGAAAATCAGTTAATGAGGCCTGCCCCAGCATGCCAGTGGGGATCATAGGCTGGAAAGACCTCCCTTCTGCAGGAGATGAAATTCTTGAAGTAGAATCTGAGGTATATCAAGCTTAATTCCTATATATTAGCTTGGATATAATGATTTTAAATAATCTATAATGTTATACCAAATTAATGTTAGCTTATTATTAACTATTCTAGACTATGAGGGGGCCAGTGGTGCCTTTTTAGAATTTGGCTGTAGAATTTTTTAAAATTTGAGATAGGGTTTTTAAATGAAATAATTTCATTTATATACAAAGCCTTCAAATGAAAGTTTTATAAGTTTCTTGAAACTTACAAAATTAGTACTTTCATATGAGTTAAACTAATTTCATAGTGGAAGAAAAACAAAGCTTTTAGTTAAATAATGCCTGCTTTTTCCCTGTAAAGGCAAGGGCACATGAAGTTGTTGACTGGAGGAAGTATGAGCAGGAGCAGGAGAAAAATAAAGAGGCTCTAAAAACAATAGAAGAAAAGCGAAAGGAACACCAAGAGGCGCACCGGAAGGACCGTGAGAAGTATGGCAATTTGCACTGGAAGGAGAGATCATTTATAAAGTACCAAGAAAGAAAAGAACAAAAATTATTAAGGCCAAAAGAGAAAGTAGAAAGAGATTCAAATATGCTTCCTATAATTATTAAAGGTAACATTTTAAAGATTTTACTTAACTCGCTTTTGGAATATATGCATTTCTTCATTCTCACAGTTAATTTGAGCAATTAAATTTAAGCCAAAAGTATCTCAGTGTTTTGGAGGGGAGACTTATTTTTATTAAGGTAGAATGGACATGTTATATTAGTTTCAAGCGTACAACATAATGATTCGATATTTGTATTTACTGTGAAATGTTCACAGTAAGTCTAGTTAACATTGATCACCATACATATTAATGTTTTTTCTTATGGTGAGAACTTTTTAAAAAAATATATGTTTTTATTGATTTTATACAGAGAGGAAGGGAAGGGAGGGAGGGAGAGAGAGAGAAACATCAATGTGAGAGAGAAACATCGATTGGTTGCCTCCCATATGCACACTGACTGGGAATTGAACCCACAACTGGGGTATGTCCCCTGACCGGGAATTGAACTGGCGACCTCCTTTTGGTGCATGGGAATCAACACTCAGTCAACTGAGCCATACCAGCCAGGTCATGATGGAACTTTTAAGATCTACTCTCCTAGCAGCTTTCAAATATGCAGTACAGTATTATTATAGTCACCACCTGTACATTACATCCCATGACATTTTTTTATAACTGGAAGTTTGTACCTTCGGACCTCTTTCGCCCTTTCACCGCCTCCCTCTTGTGGAGATTTTCTTAGTAAA